ACACAATGAATTAAAGAATAAAATGCAATATAAAAAATGTATAAAAATGTATAAATAAATTGTAGTGCAAAGTAAAAATATAAGACATACCAGACTGAAGGTCTGGAATCTATAATAAAACCATATAAATATCCCACAATATTCAAGATTAGATGAGCTAGAAATAGAGTGAATAGAGTAAATGAGCAGTAGTATTAAACAGTAGACAACCAACAATTTAAGACAAATTAATGAACAGTGCCTATAAATTGAAACTGTACAAAATACATGAAAAGAAAAAAGTGCAGACTTTTCTTTTACAATCGGGCCATGTGAAGAGATAAATGAGGGACACCTTCACTGTAAATCCTAATAATATATCTTAATAAAAGAAGCTAACATAACTATCCTCCAAAACATTTTGAGTCATAAGTTGGTTGTTTTCAGTGCACCTACATTTGTGGAATAAGCCCTCAAGCCTATCATTTTGGTTCATTGTAAATTGTTAGTTGTAAATCATATCTGTTTTGACAGGTAGTGTAATAATTTGCTTCAGTGGAAGAAGTAAAGAGTAAATTTAGTTTAAGTGCACTCATATTACATGAGTGTAATACACTTACTAGTTTTAAGTTCAATTAACTTTATGAAATTTATATAATTAACTAAATTTACCCAAGTTACCTTAATAAATACTTGAGTTACTGGTACTCAAATTAAATATTTTTTCCATACTAAAATTGTTGGAGATTAAATTTAAATTTAATCAGTTTAGGCAATCAGTTTCTAAGTCATCAGGTTTTACAGTGTATGATCCAAGATGAGGAGAACTAAACCAGACTGGAAGATTACACTCTAACAATCATATATGAATGTAGTTTGAGATTCAGCTGTGTAGAAAACTAGTGTCATGCTGTCTGGAACCCATTGTCATTTTGCATGGATATTTGTCCTTCATATGTTATACATATCTAATGCAGCAATAGAAACACATAGAGGACACAATGTATGAATACAAGAACTGGAAATTTACAGCTTACAGTATTGGCATATGTGCCATATATTGACATTGCCAAGGCAATGTATAAGGGAAAAATAAGAGCACTGCATTAAGAAGCTTATACTTTGAGAAGCTTATCCACTTTATAAGGCTTATATTTTTATAAGTTGCTCATTTTATATTTTGTACCATGATTAACTACAGGGCTTTACATCTGGTTACATGATCCAACATTACAACCATACAGATTTATCTTATTTGCTACTCTAACATGAAAACACGCTAAATAGAAAGCTATCTACAGACTCACACATGTAAAGTACCCACCGAGCAAGTTAACCCGGATGTAGATTTCTGCAGTTAACTGATTGACGTAATGGCCGATCCAGGCGGCTATATTTTGTGTTTACTGGTCGGACTTGGAAGTGTTAAGCTGGCCCTGACTACTGTTATTCAGCGTAGCTGTTGCAGCTGGCTGGCTAACCTCAGCTTGCTTGCTCGCTAATGTCATTGCTACCCAAACACTACCTGAGTGGATATTTTAGTTGGCTTTGACAAGCTCACAAAATTAACAGCTAACATGATCCATAATACTAAATCATATATTATGTCAAACGGTGTTGAATTTAGCCAACAATAAATTATGCACAGTACAAAGCTAACAATTGCTTTCTAATAGCCAAGACCAATGCAAGGAAGGGAAATCCAACTAACTGTAAATTAGCCTAAGCTAAGCTGGGGTTGTCCAGCTGGATGTGTCTTGGCTGCACATTGTGGGTCTGGCGTTGGTTGCTTTGTGGTGTTGGCTGATGGGTTCAATTTGTAAATGGACATACTAGTTAGTAGCATGGAGCAAAACCAAATAAAAATAAAGGAACATTGCAGATAGTAACATTATTATATTACTATAATTTATTTTCCATTGTTCAGTCTAGTGTTTGTCACTTTTGGCCGATGCCAAGGATGATGCAACAGGACGCTGACAACTGTTCACTTAAAGACCACTGGTGTCACTATTGACTGTTTTCTGAAAGTTTTCATAGAACCTTTTAAATAAGGATAAGCCTTTGAAATGCCATGTTCAGACCAATTGCTATGTAAGGTGACTGAATCCTCCTGAACTTGTGTGAACGTTGACCCAGCAGATGTTCGCCTCTCGCTTCTGGATGGGAGAGGCTGATTAAAGGTTTATGTTGGCAGAATGAAGGCTACATTACATCATTTGTATTGTGTATAGTGGTGAGATAGGCAGGTCATAAAAGTAAAACCCAACTTTACTAACTGACATACATTAATCATGTAATCAAGTAAAATTATTCACATTACTAATTTAGAATGGTTCTAAATGTCAGATCATAAATATGATAAATGCCTACTATGCTGTAGCCTAATGTGCAAATAATTTTATTGTACAGCAGCAAAAGGTGTATTTCAATGTATTTTCTGATTTGTCTCTTCTTTTCAGTATGCTCTGTGTTATGACTGAAGAGGATCTAAAGTGACAAACTTTGTTAAATAAAAGTTCAAATTAAAAAAAAAAACGCTCCACGGATTTATCATCTGTTTACCAGATATTTTTAGTACTCAGCCTGTGAAGACAGCTGAATAATGTCTTCTGAGACTCTGGTGGAGCTTTTGTCACAGTGATGTCATCAGGGTTATCTCTTGGCTTGGAGACTACACGTTTATAACAGAAAGCCTGGGTTACTAAGTGAGGGGGAAGCCAGGCAGATGTGGGCATTTCCCAGGCAAGCAGAGTGTTATTAAAGAGTATATGGTAGAGGTCTACTACTAAACTAAACTAACAAAATGTGTCCAAGCAGACACTGTGGGGGGCAGAAAATATATATAAAATAAATTTTAGGCCTAAATTTCTTTCAAAATTAATGTAATTTTTACTAGCCTATATCAGTGTGAACAGACTGCTAAAAAACATGGGAATCCATAATGAAACACAGCACAAGTTCAATCAAGAAGACTGTATCTTTATACCTCATTCAATCTGTCTAACTCTCCTTATCCGTCCAGTGTGTAACATTTAGGAGAATCTATTGTCAAAAATTGAATATAATATTCATATATTCTATTCATAGCTATGCTTTCATTAGCGTATAATCACCTGAATTGCCTTCCATGGAGTCTGCCATTTTTCTACAGTGGCCCAGAAGAGACAAACCACATGTTTCATGGCCACCGTAGTTTCTCCTACACACTTGGAAGGGGACGGTGAAGCGACAGACTTGCGATCTGCCACTACACCGCTAGATGCCACTAAACCCAACATACACCTTTAATCAGCGGACTATGTGCGTTTACTCTTTCAGTTAAACAATTATACTTTTCTACAATCTCTTCCAGCCAACCAGTGTGTATGATTTAGTGGCATCTAGTAGTGAATTTGCAGATTACAACTAACTGAATACCACTCAGCTTCCAAGTGTGTAGGAGAA